CTGCATGGGGATAGAGCTGCATATGAAAATGCACACAAGCAGCTTATCACTGAATTCTTTAAAGGAAGAGCCCAAATGATTTAGGCAGAGAATAAATGTTTCAAAAGCATCTGTGGCAATTTGCACATAAACCCAGTGCCTGAGGCTCAGGAGCTCAGCCACATTACAGTGACTTAACATCCCATCACCCAGCCTGGACTAGAACAGTCCATTTTATGTCACACTGCTGGCAGGTACCCCAGCTCGCCTGGTACATGTTCACTCATTAAGCTGTGAAATGGGATGATCATGTCTGAGCCTACGCATCTCTGGATGCTGTCAAGGTTAAAGTAGTGTTTAGAGCACCTGCAGCTTTTTTTGAAGGCCAACTGTGTCAGTTTCTGTGTCTGTGGTGAACCTGAAAATGGAAATTAGATGCCAAAATAATGAAGGTCGGGTTTGTTTTTTTAATCTTACCTTCTGCCATGCAGACTTTTTACTCCTACAACACAGGAAACCGAGAGAAGTGAAGCAGCAGCATCATAAGACACACGCTTTACTGAACATTATTTATGTACTTCAATACCTCCCTTGCCAACTATAATTACCTGGGAGTTACTCAGGCACGTCTAACAGCCAGGTACAGATCCCAGGAATCCGATGCTGAAAACCACATCACCATATGCTAAGAAAGTCATAAAAGACCTTTTAGTCAGAAGCAAAGTTTAGGGAAAACAAGTCATCATCAGACTAAAATCACTACTTCTATTCTAAGAGCCGTAATGAGGGAAAACCATTACTACAACATAAATCATCTTTCCTGGAAGAAAATACTTGGAGTCTTTGTTCTTGAGTAAGCCTATTACTGATGCCTGTTGTTCTTCACTCAGACTGGATGTATCCTCTGACTAAAGAGCACATAAAGAGCTCACTCACACACTCTCTCAGGAGCCACAGCACTACAAATAAAAGCTGTCCAGCGTGTATTATTAATGAGCACTTATCAGAGGATCTCAGGCTATAGCCAGACAGGAGTTTGACTGTGCTGCGATTCTTTAGAGGCAAACCCTGAGCCAGTTCCCTCAGTTTCCCTCACTCTTTTCTCCCCTATGCAAAGATTTGTGATAAACCATTTTGTCACAGCAGCCAGGAGGCAATTGCCTTGCCCTAAAGGGTTTAATCACTTAGCTTTAACCAAAAGACAAAGGGAGCCACATGAGGAGATGCTGGGTAGAGGCACAACAACCGTAAACATCTAAAAAGGGCAAAGTGAATTTTACTTTGGTACCAGTGAGATGTTATTAGAAGAGTTCAGGAGCACACATATTGGCAGTTGTTAGAGCTGCAGTACAAGCCTCAGAGGTTCAATTTTCTGAGTGGCTACAGCTGTACCACCTTCTAAATCCTTGGGTCCTGATTTATTCATGGCATTAGGAATGCAAAATGCAAGCAGAGGGAAGTAGGCCAACAAGAGAATAGAAAGCAGGGACACAGAGCAACCAGTCTCCTCATTCCAGCTGAAAACAGGTTGAAATTATTAACTCTTTCCAAGCAAGCTCTCTCTGAAAGAGCAACACAGCTTGATGAGTAAAAATGCACAAATGAAGCTCTCCCCACAAGACAAAATCAGAATTAACAGAAACACAAAGCAAACATGGCTTCAGAAAAAGAATTCAGCTTAACTCTAGCCTGAGGCATCTGCATTTGCAGATGCATAACGCTCAGGCCAATGTGTCTGCCAGGGGAGGGGTTAATGGCTTTGGTCCTGTGACTCGTGGACCAGATGTTCAGCTGGTACAGCTCAACACAGATCCATTAGGAAGGAGTGGAGCTATTCCTGCTTACCCAGACAGGATTCTGACCCTGTACTTTGAAATCCTAATACCTGCTCAAAAGATTTTTTTCCAAAGGGAAAGGCCTTCCTTTTTGTGAGCATCTAAATAGACTACTAGAAGAGCTGCAGAAGCAGTTGAGGTGACCATTGCCCTGGCCTGCTTGCAAGATTACAAAACTCCTACATTTTAAGTATATTTTAGCCTCCTGAGAAGGGAGGCCAGGTAGGGATTGGAGCAAGTCATCAACTTTCACTCGTGGGCAGACAGGATACAAACCAGCATTCCCCAAGATCAGCTGATACTAGAAATTTGGACCTTGAAACAGCATCCTCTGGAAAGAAAACACACACTTGAGAGCAGACCCCAGTGACATGAAAGCATGTACCTACTTCCTAGTGAATTGTATTGGATATAATCCCCTGAGGGAGGGTGCAGGCCTGACCTACACTTAAATATTCTGGGATGCATTGACAAAATGAATGTGAGTCTTAAATGACCTTTTCATCCTGTATTGTTCCTATCAAACAGTACCACAAAGCACTTGTTTCTGCTGCAGTTTCATAGTATACACATACAGGCAGCACCTTACACCAGGCAGAAACACACACTGGAGGTAAATCACCTATTTGTCACCTACCAGGAAACAGACAGGTTTAGTTCTCAAAGCAGATGCTGCGGTCAGCCAAGACTTTAAGCATATGCTTGTAATAGAAAATGGTCTACAAAATTTACCCCAGGGATTAGACGGTAAAGAGCAAGCAGGAAAAAAACTGAAACTAAAATAGGTAGAGCAGCACATTTTTCCCTAAAAGGGCCATCCTTTCATTGAAGCCAGGTATTTTGAGGAAAAAGAAAATGTCCAGATGTGAAAGATGACAACCACCACCAAGGTGTCCAGAGGCTAAAAGTCATGTCAAGTGCCCAGCAGTAGTAGGCACATCGGTGCTACCTGGGAAGGTTTTTAAACAGCTATCTTGACCAAAAAGCTGACATTGCAGGAAACCTGTCTACCCTGAGACTTTATTTCTGCACCTCTAAGCATCCAGTCTGTGCTCTTAAAGTACACAATTTGCTTAAAGACTTCTGTAGCACAGGCTATAAGACCTGCAATGCTGCACAACAGCCTGCTGTAACATGACTTTCTCAACTAAACACCACCTTCAAGGGAAAACTGATCTCAGAAGCCAGTAACTCTACAACACTCAGTAAGTACATCCTAAGGATTCTGCTATAAGCCCTTTTAACCACGTTTACACACATTCTTCAGAATCAAGGCACCTTTCACAACTGAAACGAAACCTCTGGCAGCCCCTTCCAACCTGAGTGGAATGCCACAGAGCTCTGCTCCGTCCACATCAACTCCAACCAGCACCCCAGTAACACGAAGTCTTCCTGGCAAGGAATGATTCTTCGAGGTGTTCTCTATTTGCTCTTTTGCCATATCCAGATCTGTAACTGGGTCCATGTCTTCACACCTAGGGCTGTCAAACCCTCCAGCCCTATTCCTATAGGGAATCCCAGTGGATATGGAAGTACAAGTCTAGTCAACATCTGAAGACAACTGTGTGAGTTGTCCTTAAGGGATGCAATATATAGGCTTTCCAGCACAAGTATCAGCATTTCAAACACCTTTCTGAAGATATTCATAGTGTGAATGATGAAACTTCATGAATTTTCATAGAAAAATTATAAAACCAACTATAGAGCTACAGAGCTCTCCCCCTTGGATCCTTAGCTGAAACCTTTAGGGAATCAAACAACAGGCAACAGTATGATAGGGATTGCCAGCCAGTGGTGGTGGGACAGTCGTCAGTCAACAAGCTAAGCTGGTCCAAAACAACAGGACCAGCCTTTAAAGGAGATAACTGCTTATACGTTAGGAACACATCTTAAAACACATCAGCAGGGGGGGGATTTGTAATTTGCAGCGTTTCCTCTGGTGAGAAAATATAACCCAGAATTTTGAAGATCTGTTTTCTGTCGACAGAAATTAGCAAACAGCCCTTACACAGGCTGGAGTAACACAGCAGGATGAGAAAGGACAATCCTTCAGTCTAAGCAGACTTCTGTGCAAATCTCTCTCAAAGTCTTCAATGAAAGATTTTCTTATTCTCTAGAGTGAATATACACAGACATATAAATATATATACACATATGAGAGGATGGAGAGACCAAACACATCCTTAATGGTTCTGGAGCCACTCTCAGGACTGATTACTGGATTAAAATACAGATTAAAGTGCAAAATTCAGTGTACTCTGACCCATGTCTCAAGTTGTTACCACCTTGGTTTGCAACAGTGAAATAAAATTCACTCAAATTCTGGTGAATTCAGTTCAGCTTCACCCAACTTCTACCCAGTGTTAAAATGAAATGACAGGAGAAGGTAAGTTTTGTAGCAAAGTTCCTTCAAAATAATACATTGGAAACATTTTACAGAATATAAATTATATCTATATGTACACATATAATACACAATACATACAGAGCTGAAATCACAGAGAGGAAAGCTGTGCTTGCACTTATCAAAAAATGATGAGCCAGTGGCAACATTTTTGCTGAAGTCATTGATAAATCACCAACTGAGCACCAAATCTTCCAGTTGCATTAGAAGAACTTTATAAGCAATTCTAGCAAAAAGTCTCTTTTGGAAGCTTCATAATGAAAGTGAAGCTCTGGAAGGTCAGTTTGGTCAGCCTGTTAAAAGTCAGTATGTACATGGTGCAACAGGGAATTGGAAAACTCCTAGTGCTTCAATCCAGAACATATATGGGATTCCTGAAAGACTGATTCAATTGATTCTCATTACCTACAGTCGAAGAAGGCAAAGGTCAGGGATCAGCATTACTTATAAATGAAGCAGCATTGCCCACTGTGATTTTGAGCTGGAAAATGTTAGTTTCTCAATCAGATACTCCAACAGAGAAAAATGAGGATGACACAGAACATCTGAGCTCAGCAGTTTCCATCAGCAGGGACAAGAGGGGGTTCAGTATTAGTGAGCCAGCCACAAGCACTCAGCATTCCTTCTGTGTCCTCACATTCCTAAAATAGACGTCAGTACAAAAATGCAGACAAGGGTAATTGCTCTGTTTCTTTCCTCTGAGGAAGGAAGAATTAGTGACACAGTCCATTATATTCTGCTTTCTTGTACCAGATGACACAAAGGCTCTGGCGAGTCCCAGGTCACTTTTCCATATTTCCTGCTTCATTCCGAGAGGCCTTGGAAACACGATTGATGCTGCTTTCAATGAAGACCTTCAGGCCCTCTAAACCTTGTGCATAGAGGTATTCCAGATACCAGTTCTTTTTCCCTATAAAAATAGAAAGAATAGTCAGATATGCAGGGGACAGCTTTGTTTCTTAGGCCATTCTGAGAAGGTCTGCAAATACTGCCTTCCCTACTTTGACAATATCCATCCTAGTCTGTAAACACCCACAGGTACACAGGGTCATATCCTGTTCCCAAATGCCCAAACTTATCAGTTATGTATTACACATTCTTAGCTTGAACATAACTAATTATGATCATCTTTTTTAATTCTGAAGATGTTTATAAATCCCAGTTCTAAAAAGAGCAAAGTCTTTTGGATCAACAATGAAGATGTCAGGAACCAGATTAACCTGGATATTAAAGCCTTCCTTCCATCACTAGTGGTGATGCCTCCAGATCAGGTTTGAAGTGCACTGATACAGGAAAGGAAATAAACTGCCACTGTACTCACTCAGCACAGGATCCCTGTTCAAGCTGTAACAAAGCTACACATCCACCTCAGAATATTCATATTAAGTTCGTTGATAATAGAAATTCTGCTTCAACTACATCAAAAATAGAACTTGTTCTACAGAGAACAGTGTTGTTCTGATAGTGCACTGACTTGTGGAGAAGACCACTACCTACAGGTGGCCACATACAGAACTTCTCAGATGTTGATGTTCTCCTGTTAAGAGACTGAGCCAAGATCTACAGCTGGAATTTTCCCCTTTCAAAATTTTTTATAGAGCATTTGTGGAACCAGTGAATATTATCACCTCATCCTCTCCTACACAGCTGCTGAAAACTGCCTGTTTTCCCTTCATTAAAACAAGAAATCTTACCTTAATTAAATTGAAGTTGAAGGTGATATCACCTGGACAAGCCTTAAGGAGAGGGAATAAAAACAGTATCAAGTCAGATAAAAAGTATGTCCAGAGTTGCCGGGCCTCTGCTTAGTCCCCTCCTAAACCAGGAATTGTAGATGTGCAAAGAAATTCAGAGATTTTTAAATCATGCTTCAGAATGGGCTTCCAGCATCATACCATGTTCCACAAGTGATCAGGTAATGCAAGACCCTCTTGCCCCATTGCTCCAGCATTACTGGACAGTAACAGAAAAGATTTACAGGTATCTTTAACCGTTGGCTCTCTGCAGTGCAAAAGCCACCCCGCCAAAGCATTACACATAGACGAGCAAGAGGAGAGAACCTACTACCATTTAGATTATTGCTTGTGTTCTGAGTGTGCTGCAGAGCAGTGCCCTCTGGTGCTCAACACTGCTGTGGTTACGATGGCACTGCAGGTAAGTATTTCTCCTGCCTTAAGACACACGTGTGATGCTGCCAAGCAAAAGCTCATTTGGTTCTGCAGGAGGAAGGATACAAATATCCTCCCATGTCCACCTGCATGCAGTTGAACTATGGTGTTTCTTGACTTTCTGCAGTTTAACTGTTTAGGTCATGCTGCATATTTTGTGGGGCAGGATGCACTATTGGGAAGCATTTACTGAATTAGTAATTTCTTTCATTATTTAGCTATTTTGGTTCTATCTTCAAAATGGTAAGCACAAATTCACATCTAGAACTGTCACGTTCATGCTTTCACACCACACAAAGACTACTCAAATTGTGCCATTGATCTGACACACAACACAGAATCCCAGAGCAGCTTTTGAAAGCCCAGTTGACTCCACAAGTCAGACACCATGCTGAGATACACCTCTAGAGAAACGTCAAGACAACAGCCAGTGCTGCCAAAGGCCCAATGGTGGCCTCCACCATTACCTGCTGCAGGAAGAGGACAGCATAGCCTATCATGGCTGGGTGGTAGACAATGTTAAAGCTGGTTCTGAATTCCTCCACTGCGGTTTTGTTCAGCAGTTCGTCATCCATACGAAGACCTTGAGGATGAATATCCTTCTGGAATGCATTGGATGTCCACAGACAACCCACCATAGCTGTTATGTACTGGTTGTACTCTTTGTATGTCTCGTTGCTGAACCTGAATTGCTGTATTTCCTGAGGGACAAGAACACAAACCAAAAAATAGCATCCTTGAAGCAATTGTGTGCTCCCTCCAGTCCTTAAAAGAATCTCATCACAACACCTCCCCTCCAGACAACCCAAGTCCTTGCTAAGGTCTGTTCCAGCACATAACTTTATCCACAATACCTTTTTACTCTGCTCATTTTCTTTTGCAGCCACCAAGTTGGTTCGATACCTGAGAAAAACAAGCAAACAAAAAGTTAGGGGCCTGTAAATTTTTACTACCTACCAGTGTTGAAAATAAGCTGGAGGAATGTATTAAGAAAGCTTATTTCCTACACAAGAGATCAAACTTTTCTGATAAAAAGGAGAGAGACGAAAAAGAATTCAAAAGGAACTTTATCACTTGGCCTTTCCAGGCAGAGCAGTGAGACAGTTGATAATATTAGTTTCTTAAATGATTAAGACATGACCAGTTTCCCTGAGACAGTCTCCTTATAAAGGCAACACATAACTATTGACATACAGCCTTAAAATCAGCAGAGAAATGCAGTGTGTTTTTAAGAAAGGAGCCTTTCATTCACTAAGCAGAGAAACAGAAGCACTGTAAGTAATGCAACATGACAGCTGCTCTCTATAAGCAGTGCTGGCTCCTTTTATTTCCCAGAGACCATCCTGTCATGTTAATTACCCTGCAGACTCCTTAGAGAAAGAGGCCACATGGAGAGGCCTGTGCCAGCTGTCAGCAGTTGGCTGCTCTTCTAACATGCAGCCACTGGAGCTAACAAGGCCAAGAGCAGCAGCCATGCTGAGGGATCCTGCAGAGCTAAACTGGGCTGCCTCTGCACCTGAAAGCAGCAAGCGGTAGTACCAAAGGTCTGGAGGTTGCAGAAGTCCTTCCTACTCAGCACACATAAGCTTTTCCTTATAAACTCTGTAGTGGTCAAAGCACAGGAGTGAGAAGTTGTTTACAAGTAGTGATTCCAGCTGGCTGATAAGCTCTCTCAAAAGAATATGGGAACTCCTTCCTTCACATACCAAAGGTATTGAAATAATACTAGGAAATAAGTCAAAATCCTACTATTTTGGATAACAGACTGGAAAAAAAGAAAAAGATAAAGTGGGATCTACAGCTATAACATCCTGTTCCGTGAAAGCTCAGCACAGCTGGTACTTCCACCTTTGCCTTGCATGGTAAGAAGAAGATAATAATAATTTAATTTCCAAAGGACTGAAAGATAAAACAAGGAGTCCCTACAGCCCACACCATTTGTAGTACCTGTACATAATGTAGCAGAGCTGATTCAAGCTGACAGAATCCATGCTGAGGAGCATTGGGTAGAAAACTCCAGCAGGAGGCATTATCAACAAAGGCAGATTGTACTTCAGATACATGTCACACACCTGTAAGAATGAAGCAAATCAAGGGAGATTACTACTGCCATTAACACACCCCAAAGGGTCCAAGAGTGAAGGAGCGTATGACACTACATTCCAGCCAGCTCCAGCAACTTCACCTAGGAAGGAAGGCCAGGGTGAAGCAATTCCATTTCCTTCTCAATATGACACATACCATCAGTCCATATGTCAGTCTCCGCTTCAACCACTTAGGTATACCATATGTTTTGTCATGGTTACTTAGAGCCAAACCTACCCATGGAGGTCACATGGCAGTAAGCAGAGAGAAGACATAAGAAAACTAGAGAATAGGCTTAAGCCTATTTGATGCTCTTAGTTTGTCTCCAAGACAAACTGGGGAAAGTTTCATTTTTTTAAGGAGAAAAAAAAAAAAATAATCAGGATACGTTGTTTGGAATTGAACTAAACATTGTTCTTCTCTATAAATTAGCATTAAAAAAAGCATGTTATGCCATATTGTTTCCTCCCCCTTCCACAGTTCACCTCTGACTTAAGAGCAACCACTTTCCTTCAGCATGTTTAGTTCTGCCTATGGATGCAAGAGCAACAGTTAACACCTGTAGATCCACTAAGTATTTGGAATACTCTTGCATTTAATCACAAAGTTCTGTAAACTATGAGGAAGAGGTTTTCATGGTCTAGCTTAAAAACTGCAAACAGCCTTTGAGTGTATTGGGATTCTGAAAGCCAGAAATGAACAGGATACGTACAGTCTCATAGAAGTCAAGGATGAAGTACAGCAAGAATGTGTGATCGCTTTCCAAACGCAGTGCAACAGTAGAGATCATTCCAACAAAGTGGATCAGTTCAGCCACCATGTTCAGTAGTCCAGAAAAGGTTGTATTCCTGCAGGAATTACGTGATGCAACATGAGTATATATACCTCTTTGGAGGCAGTAAAAAGGAAAAGCAGTAAAAAAGAAACTGAAGTTTATCCTTCTGACCTACCAAGCATTCAGCAACATGAATTTGTTCTTCAATATACCCAGTAACATATTGTTACCAATGTTATTACAAACATGACCCAGCTGTCAGTGCTACAAGGATTTGATTTGGAGATTTCCATCTTCAGTGTCAACAGAAATATTTTTAAAGAAAGAGGAAGAAGAGGATTGACAAGGGGTAAGGGATTAAAAATTAAAGAGGGAAGTTCAGGTTGGATATAAGGAAGAAATTCTTTACTGTGAGGGTGGTGAGGCACTGGAATGGCTTGCCCAAAGAAGTGGTAAATGCTCCATCCCTGGCAATGTTCAAGGCCAGGCTGAACAGAGCCTTGGGTGACATGGTCAGTGTGAGGTGTCCCTGCCCATGGCAGAGGGTTAGAACTAAATGATCTTAAGGTCCTTTCTAACCCAAAACATTCTATGATTCTGTGACAAGGTAGCTTACAATACAGCAGAAACATTACAGCATTATTAACCTTCTAGTTTTTCTTTATGCTGGTAATAGGGTTAGAATATATCTCTAAATACACTAGTGAACAATGCGCAGAATATTGCATTTATTTCAGAGAAACTCACAAAGAATGGATTCGAGAGTCAGATGCTGAATCCAGATGAACCATCTGCCAATTTAACCAGTTCTGCAACAGCCCTTTCAGGCTCTCAAGAACACTGCACTGCAAGAGGCAAAACCAAAAACAGGCTGATGACAATTTACAAGTGACTAATACTAAACAAAAAATGCCATGAGAGTTGATATATACAAGGGAAGATATCAAGTGTTTCTCAGAACCACAAAGAGCAGTGAGATAACTGCATGTCCCCTTGTACTGATTGTATGCATTACAGCCTCTTCCTGGAGAACATGGGTTGCAAATACCACCTAAAATTGCAATAAATAATCGCAAACCAACTACTGCCTTGGGTACTCTCAGCTCTTTTTATTTTCTTAGTGCCTTAGCTTAATTCCAGTCAAAAAAAAAAAAAGTATCTTAAAGGTACTCAAATTTCCCCAGAAGTTTCATTGTAAGTACATACTTTACCCTCATCTGGGCACAGACCTCCCCAGAAGTCCCCTACACAATCCCTCAGACTGATACACCTGATAGAAGAGCAGATACAGTATCAACCAGAACTAAAGAACCACTGTATTCACTTAAATTACCTTAAAGTAAAGCGATGATGTGAAGAAGAGCTGTGCCAGGGGATCGTAGAGATGTGACTTCATTTCTGAAAACAAGATGAGAATGCAATATATCATCTGTGGAAAAATTCTGTCCCTCAAGATCACTGTCCAGCCTCACTCAGAGGATCACACATACCAGAGAAGCTGTTGAGGGGGATCCAGCTCACAAGTCTGAGGATTTGTGATCGGCAGCACAAGCCATCCCAGAGAGGAAGGCTCCTATACAGGAACTCTTCACAGGGAGACAGCCCCTCCTACAATGCAGAAGATGAACATTCAAAAACTAATCTCATATGCCTGCACCTTTGCCATGCTCACTTCACCCCGAAGAATGAAAGAGACTTACACCTTCTTCCTGCCATACAATTCACCAGGACATTATAATTCTTAATATCATTCTTAAACTACCTTTCCTGTAGAAAACAAGGTCATCTTCAGAATATCTACTTGCCTTAGGAATATGTGTTTTATTACTTGAGACACTGTCACTTCTCAGAGAAACAGGTAAGTCCCCAAAGTACCCTAAGGGAAGACATCGTGAAACACTTTGCTTCCCCAAAACAGGCTCTTACCTGCAAGAAACACTGTGCACTGCAGAGAGTTTCCAGGAAGTCCTTGAATTCTTCTTCATGTTGGCTATTATCAGCCACACACCAAGTACATTCTAAATAGGAGAGAATACTGTATTCAAATATCAGCACAGCAAGAATTAGCACGATCAGAAACAAAATTCAGTTCTCATCCAATAGGTGTTTTAACATTATGTAATTCTCAGATTATCACTATAAATCTGAATAGCAAAGTACCATTAGTGAAAGGTGAAAAGCCCCAGACATCCTTTACCTCCCTACTATGCAAGGTAATATTAAGTTCCTAACCTTCCTGAAGAGTCTGGCCCAACCAATAGTAGAGCCTTAGGTAAACGGATTCGTCTTTGATGCAATTCATGTAGTGAAGCAACAAAGGGTTTGTTAACACTGAACCCATCCGGGAAGGAAACTGCAAGAGAAATGCAATTAAAAAGAAGAGTTATTCAGTATTTACATCAGCAAATTGCCAGAGAAACTCATTCTGCCAGAGCTGTTCAATCCTTCTACCAGTAACGAGACCACCTCCAGGACCCATTTGTCAAGCCCAGGTAGGACTAGATGCTCTATTAGAACTAGATAGCCCACACACTGTTCACATAACAACTGGGCTTAGAGGAATAACCTTTGATGTCTCAAAACATTCAGTGACCTTATCAAGACCTGCCAGAAACTCACCTCTAGATGGTGGATATTCTGTAGGAGCTGAGGAAAGGTCTGCAGCTGCTCCACTGGAAAACACTCATCTGTACTGTACAAATCACTGTTCTTTTGCCTGACCTCTTCTAAATGATTTCTATTTGTACTGCTTGCAGGAATCATCAACTGGGTATTCCATTTCTTTAGAAAAGAAACACAAAAGAATAGCAATGACTGTTTCCATTGCAATCAAGTACAGTATTCCCATAAAGACCCTGTTCTGCAAAAAAGGCTTTCATTAGAATGGGAATGCTGGATTTCCGTTTAGCTCCTCCACCCTTCGCAGTGCTGGAATAAAGCCTGACTCCCGTTATTTGCCAATATTCATAATGAAAACAGCTGTTTGGCACCTTCTAGGGTCTACCTTAGGCCCACAACCTACCCTTTTCCGTGACCGAGGTTGAGCGGTGCCTAAAAGCAGTGGCTGGGGCACTGGAGAGTTTTTCTGCTTTCTTTGCCTTATTGTTTTGATTGCTGCTTTCCATGGGCCCTCTGCATTCTTGAAGTAAGTCTGAAAACACAAAGCAGACATCTATGCAAGAAGCCAAACTAAGACAAAGTGACAGAAAGATCAGTTTCTATTCTGATAAAGTCACCACAGTGTTTATACACTCAACTCTGCTTGACAGACCAAACAGCAAGGTTTTCACAAAACTCTCAGTTTTGTGCTCTTATTTGCTAGAGTCCTCAGCTTCATTACCTTTTGCATGTAGCTCAACAGTTATGCTTTTATTCCCTTCTGAAATGATGTCCCGTTTTTTAGAAGAGATCTCTAACACTTGAGATTTATAATCCTTATTCAGGTAAATCAGTAATTCATAGAGTAAATCTCAAGTATACGTTAAAATAAAAATGACCAAGGTATGCTTATACCAAAGTTACTGGGAAGGCTTCCCAAGGTCAGCATCAGTGATATCCACCAAACAGAAAAATCCAGTGAGCAACCAAACTCTCAAATTAATGCAGCTACTACAGAAAACAAAGAAAATTGGAAAAATGAACCCAACACCTATTCTGCATAAAACTTATTTTCTGTCACTTCAGTTGCAATTGGTCTGTAAATTCTAACTGAGTGCTAAAGCATCACAAAAGTATTCAGATTGGTTTGAGCCCAGGTAATCAAGCTTTTATGACAAAAGTTAATACAGTGTGCTCATAAAAAACAGTTGAAGATAGTTTTGGGTTTTAACCTTCACCACTAAATCATGCTGTAGCTTAAGCAGAAAGCTCGGTACAAGCAGTGTTGTGAGTATTGATTCCAAGTAGACTAAATCTAATTCCTTACCTTTGTTTTTGCAGGAAGGATTATGGTCACCAGCTCAGGACAAAAGAGCTTGTAAAGTGATAGTAGAGCCTGCAGATGAGATCTCATTCCCTGCCAAATGCAGAACAAGAGGAAAAACATGTGAAGTATGTTCTTAGTGTAGAAATCACACACTGTATTCTAGAAGCAAAAACCCACCACGGATTACTAAATGCTTTCTAAAGCTACATGTCAGTAAGTGACCATCGATGAACAACTGAAAAAGAAAGGAAGAGCAGAAACTGCCAATGAAATACCACAGGAAGAGGACTGAAGAAGGAACTTTGTGTAGTCATAACTAATAAGAAGGAATTTAACTATCAAAACTATGAAAAATAGTCTCCTGCCATCTAACTGCTCAAAAATACTACACCTACAGTTTTTTCTTACAAAGAGCACAGATCCCCCACAATCTTACATTTCTGAATCATTTTTGATACCACTTGAAAAAGATGATTAGAAAATTAAAGATGTTATCAGATAAATGAAGCCACCCCTTGCTCCAAGGATTTTACTACACATAGCCATAAAATGTATAGCTGTGTGCAAGTCATTGCATGGGCTCACAAACACAAATGAAAACTAGGCACGTACATGCAAGACAAACAAGCCCTGATGCTACAAAGACTACAGCCTACAGTTCCAGTCTAACCCTGTCCTCAGACACTAACCCCTCTGCTCCATCCTGTAAAGACAGCAGTCTTACAAGCCACATGTCAAACTCTACAAGATTCAAATTAAACTCACCATTTTTGCTTGGAGGTCAAGCAGTCTCCTAACCCGAAAAGGCTTGACTGGAGATACAATTAAGAACATAACACATTTTAAGAACACTGTATCAGACATTTAAGCAAAAATTAAGTATCATGTTTATTATAGAAAGCCCTTGCAAAGGAAGCAGAACCAGTCTTATTTCCAGGCTAATAGACAGTTTCCAATCCAGAAAGTGCTAGACAAATCAGGCTGAACTACCACTACCACTCATACTTCCTGCCTAAAAAGCAGTATATTGGCTGATCACTGCATTAGCTCCATTGGAAGAAAAGTTGATGCCAGTAAACAGAGCAAGAAACAAAATGATATTCCATCTCATACAATTGGATTGACTCACCGTTCTCCTTCCTGGTGAGCAAGTAGAGTACGTGGCAGACGTAGGGGCACTGCAAGGAAAAGGCAGCAATAAACTATCCTGCTGGTGCTGCTGGACCAGGAAACACTAAAGCGACATACAGGATTCACAAGCTAATGTTGGTTTATTCAGCTGACTGCCTCAAGTCATCCTTGTGTCCCCATGGGGCAGAGCACACCTTACTTCCCTTAGGAAGTAGCATAGTTTTTAAGTGTCACATGTGTCAATTTTATTTAGAAACATTACCTGCACTATAGCAACCAAGCTGTTCAGTGAGCTTGAATCTTGTTATGGGAAACATGGTCTGGACATTTTAGGAGTCAGCAGTTGAAAAAAAAAAAAAATCACATTTTCAACTAAGAAAGGCACCTTAGAACCAAAATAATTCATTAGAGCTTCTATGAGGCTGTAAGGGGCTTAAACTACCTTCACACCAACTTTGGTGCACTTTCTAATTGGCCCATCATGCCTGAAAATGCTGCTTTAAACAGTAAGAACTTTAATCCAGTTTTATGAAAAGAATATTACCAATGTTCACCTAAAACCATTAAAAATTTTACAAGAAATATAACTCACAGCCTTGGGAACTTTTTAACCACAAAATAGCCTAAACTAAGAATATCTGCCAAACATGACCACCCAGATCATCTTAATGTGAACTGAATCCAAACATTTCAATATTCCAGGGCCCGGGTTTTACAGTAGCCATATAAGAGAAATGTTCTGATTGTTCATTCTCATTTAAACTAAATTTCAAATCAGTTAAGTAAAACAGCATTTGGAGTTTCTCACCTTTAAATCAACATTGCTCTAAAAGGTTTTCTTTTTGCCCAAGGTATGCAAGTCAGTTTCTCCCCAGAAGCAGGAGACTTCACCTGCTGATTTGTGACACCAAAGGCATTTCCAGAGACTGCAGCAGCATAGTTACTCTTGGAAATTTAGACCAAATATACGGACACTCTGATGCAAAATAGCAATTCTCGGAAATGTGTTTAAACAACCAAACCACAGCATTGAAACAGAAATAATCCTCCAGTACCTCCCTGGTTCTGAATCTAAACCACCCAGCAACCTTCAAATGCAAAATAAAAAAACAGAAAACAAATTCCACACATCAGAAAATGGTCTCTAACCAACAGCTACTCCAGACTAATTCTAACATGAATACTACTAATGAACAGTTAGGTTTATTTTTGTCAATACCATATATTCTTCAGCTCTCCTTACCATCTTCTCATCTTGCAGGAAGTAAAAGAAGAAACCATAGAGGGCATGAAGCTCTTCCTTGTGATCAATGAAGTCAAAAAATGTGATCAGCCATCTTAAAAAGAGCACCTGCAGAGAGGAAAAAAACCCCATATTACATTAAGTGATGGGCAAAAGCCAGACAGACCAGTCACCAGCCAGTTTAAGAGACTCAATCACTAAGGATACATGCTACTCTCAAAGACAACATAGGTACTGATGAACAGAACTGGGCTGATTCAGCTGTGGAAGAATGTCTGCCAAGAGCATCAATTGCTAAATCAGAATGGGAAAAGCAGCTCAGTTCTGAGTATGTGGTAACCCTCAAACATGATCTGAGGGCCCCTCACTACAAGAGGGTCATTCAGGTGCTGGAGCATGTCCAAAGAAGGGCAACAAAGCTGGTGAAGGGTCTGGAGCACAAGTGTGGTGAGGAGCAGCTGAGGGAACTGGAGTTGTTTAGTCTGGAGAAAATGAGGCCCAGGGGAGACCTTATCACTCTGTACAACTACCCGAAAGGAGATTGTAGCAAGGTGGGGGTCAGCATCCTCCCAAGTAGCAAGTGATGGGACAAGAGAAAATGGCCTCAATTTGTGCCAGGGGAGGTTTAAATTGGATATTAGGAAAAATTCCTTCACTTGAAAGGGTTACTAAGTACCGGAACAGACTGCCCAGGGAAAAGGCTGAGTCACCATCCCTGGAGGTATTTAAAAGATGTGTAAATGTGGCACTTGGGGACATGGTTTACTGGTGAACTTAGCAGTAAAGGTTTACAGTTGAACTCAATGATCTTAAGGGTCTTTTCCAACCTAAATTATTCTGTGATGCAAACCTTTGAGTAGACTATGTGAGGACAAAAAGGACTATTTTGCTAATATTACATCATGCTGCCAAGGCCAAGGCACACAGAACCTAAGGGATACCCTGCTGAAGTTGGTCAGGAATG